TATGTAGCTGTCAAAATGCATATTAAACAACACTTTTTGCATTGCACTTTTACTTTGACAGAATCATACTTGGAGCCCCCAGATGTGCAGCGGCAGTTGAACCATTATAACTTGATGGCACAGGCTGGTGCTGCATTGAAAGCAAACGTCCAAGAAACCAGTTTACCTGAGAACAGCCTGCTTCACTGTGAAGTCTGCAATTTCAACACTGGACACCTGTCTAGTATACGACGACATTACCTAAGGACCCATGGAAAGAAGATCCTCAGGTGTAAGGACTGCAACTTTGTCACTGGTTTTAGGTAAGTTACTAACTAAGTATTTTTCTTTATGTAAAAAGTCAGTGTTTTTGAACTGTGACAAGCTTCTGCAATTTCTGCCATGCTTCTACTGTAGCCTAGAAGGGACAAACCAAACACTTGCTCTAGATAGGACCGTTCACACCGTAAGCTTTCATGTGAGAGATTTGTGACGGAAATATTTGTCTCCAAGCATGAATAACATTTTGTAACGGACATAAATTTGTTTTTCCTGCCTTTCATTAGGAAAACTCTGGAAATGCACATGGAGACCGGTCACTCTACCTGCCAGTCAGAACCTTCGCATCAGAAAGACCTCCGCTGCCCTTTCTGCCTCTACCAGACCAAGAACAAGAATAACATGATCGATCACATTATCTTACATCGCGGTATGTTAGATGCTCGACAGGATTCTGTGTTCCCACCCCCTGATACCCTGATCTGTCCTGATCCGTCTTTTTGTTTCTTCTGTTTCCAGAGGAACGCGTTGTGCCGATAGAGGTGCGTCGCTCAAAGCTGTCACGTTGCCTTCAAGGTATTGTCTTCCGCTGTCATAAGTGCACATTCACGAGCGGCAGTGCTGAAAACCTGCGTCTGCACATGATGAGGCACGATGACATCAAACCCTACAAGTGCCGGCTGTGCTACTTCGACTGTACTCGGCTGAGCGACTTGGAGGCACACTTGAGCGATAAGCATCAGGTGAGGCTTTATAGCTAAACCGCTCTGTGCATCTCTGGAATTCCTTTGTGTTTTAATTAATAATGAATGATCTACTTTAATTTACTGGAATTTGAAAAATGTAAAGACATAAAACTAAAATAAAATAAATGATAAATAACAAAATATGATGTAACACATTTAGGATCCATTTTCTAGCCCTTGAGGTTAACAGCTTGCACACTATTGTTTACAGACAAGACTGATTAAAACAGTTAAAATCTCACCTCCAGTTCTCACTGACTGCTTCTCCCCAACCCAGACTTGTTTAGCCTTCTGCTTTTGTTTCTTGCAGCAAAGCATCACTGTTACTACAGCTAGTGGTAGTTCCTATGAGATCACATAAGGTGGTACATTGCTCCCTCTGGCACAGTAATATTTTGTAGTGTGCAGTGCACCATTGTTGTTAAATTCTGTTAAAGATTAGAGAAGAATATTTGTGAAGTTTCTCATGTGTGATGCAACCCCCATTGTTAGGATTTTCTAAGTTTCTGTAGTCTGAGTCTGGCTTTAGGGGTTCAGAGGGTATTGCAGGTATGACTCAGTAGCCCCTTTTCAACCAAATAATTCCTGGAACTATGGAGCCACAAGAACTAAACTAGCAGCTAAAAGTCTCTTCTGCACGTTCATTTTCTTAACCACAAAGATTAGGAAAAGTAGTTAAATAACAGCCATAAGGTTTGTATCAATTGGCTACGTTCAGCACTGCAAATACTACCCCAATAGTTCTGGTTCATTGAAAAGTTCTCTTCAGAGCAGGGAGTGGTGTCCTGGGAATTATGGCTGGGAAACTAAATTTAAACCTTGGTTCCTTCAGTTGAAACACAGGCTCCTGAATTGGTTCCTGGCCCCCTGGATAGTGGATACGTTTACCGCAGAGAAAATGGACTATATGGGTTCTTGAAAATGTGTACTTTAATTTTTTTTGCTTGTTTTTCGTGCAGGTTGTGAGGAATCATGAGCTTGTGGGTCAGATCAGCCTTGATCAGCTGGAGGCAAGGGTTGGCATGCCAGAAGAAGAAGAACGTTTGTCTAACTTAGAGCGCCACAGCAGTGACAGTGAGGATGTAAGAACAGAGGAGTTTGTTAGAAACTGTAATGAAGTTCCACACGAGACACAAGCTAAGAACCCGGCAGAAAATAACAACGTGGAGAATATTACGCTACAGATCAAGGAGGCGTATCAGAGCCAAGAGCAGGACGGGAAGAATGGAAAGGAAGAAAACCCTGCTGAGAGCTCTGTATTAGACCTTCGAGATGAGAGTACAAAACCAAACACCACTGACCAACAAGAACAAGCAAAAATGATATTCTTGCCAGACTCTGCAAGAAGACAGGAGATAGAGAGAAACAATACAGATATCCAGCTTGAGGATCGCAATTGTCCAGAGAAAGAGAGGACAAACGAGAACCAAGCCCAACCCAAACTCAGAGGTGGTGAGGACAGCAGCATAACACTCACTCAACAAAAAGAGCAGGCAGCAGAGGGGAGCTCAACGACATGTGGTAGAGTAGCTGAAAACGCACAGAGCCATAAGCTACATATTAAGACGTTAAAGCATAGGACGTTGAACTTTGAGGCTAGGATAGAAAATGATATACTGCGCCATATCCTACTGCTGGATAAAGAGGGCAGCAGCACTTTGGCACACAACCGAAAAAATCAAGTGAACACAGAGGACATTTCCGCCTCTGCCAAAACAAATCATAGGCTGGCGAATAACAACAGGGCTCCAGAGTGTTTTACAGTTGAAAGGCATTTGCTAACTATTAAGCCCAACTGTGGACAACTTAAGATAAGCCATAAGGAGATCTTAGGCGTCTCGTTTACTAAATGCAAAGAGGATCAAGTAAAAAATCCAAAAAACAGTGAGGAAGTAAGAGACCCTTACGGGGAAATGCCAGTACTTGAGAATGAATATCTGAAAGAAGAAATGCAACCTCTTTGCAAAGAGGAAGATAAGAATGATGATGGTGAGCAAAAGCAGGACAGAGAGGAGATGATCGCCGAAGACAATGAGAAGGAATCTGAGAATCCACATGTGCCCAAAGGTAAGACAGTAAAGTGATCACAATAAACCACAATAAAGTGTTCTGAACATATTTGACAGAATATTTGGTTTGAGTTTTGACAGTGGAGGATGGAAAATACACTGCAGCGACCGTGGGTTGGACTCCGACCTATGGCCCTTAGCTGTGGCCTTCTCTGGATATATGTATTTTGGGGTGAACTGTCCCTTTTTAAGATGTTATATTGGGCTGCTAGAAATAGTGACTGGCATTTTTCACTGTTTTCTGACATTTTATAGACTGATTAATAGTTTCATGGGAGTAACTGTGGGTTGCAACTAGTTAGGTCTTGGAAATTACATGTGACACCAGCCTTAGTTCATTTGTCTTGTTCTTCAGGGGAAACCACAGTTCTGGATGGAGCAGCTACAGAGGAGAAACTGTTCACCTGTGAGTTTTGTGGACGAAACCTCACAAACAGCTTTGAACTGCAACGCCACATTGTTCGACATGGAATATAACGATTTCCTTCACATCGTGGACGGTAGCGAGGGCTTCCACCGTGGATTTTTGTTTGGGAAGCTACGTTTTCTTTTCATGAATCGTCCTCTTCTTTCTTACTATACTGTGTATTTCTGAACAACGTGGTTACAAATACATTTTTCATGTTTTGTAGATTTTAAACCTTTTTTATGAAATGTTTTTTTATGGTACAGCCGTTATTGGAAGGATTTGATTTGTTTATTCACTAACTAAAACGTCAGAACTAATATGGTAACATTTCAAAGTGGAACGCATTGTCATTAAGGTGTTACTTAGATTTGTTTAAAGACACTAATGGATATCCATGAGTAACTATCATGTGAAGATCCTCCATTTTTTTTATTCTTTATAAAAAATATTCTAATTCTTTATGTTAAGGAAGATGTTGATCAAAGTTTATTACTGTAAAACATGCAAAAATCAACAACAACAAACACTGTGAACTACTGTTAAATATAAACTGAACATACTCATTCAGTACCAAGACCTGAAACAACCTCAATACCACTGACTGTGGAAACGCTTCTGCTGCCTTCAGGTGCTGTTGGATATTTGAATACGAGTTGTTGTGTACCTTGCTAGTGAGCAATTAAACAGTTTCACAGTAATAGTACGGTTGTAACTTAGATAATAACTGTATTTAGTATGGTGTTTCATGTTAATGAATGTATGTTTACTTTTTAACCTGTCTGTCATATGATATTTACTTTTGTTGTAAATAAACTGCAAGCGTGATTGCCACCCCTGATGTGTCTTTCCCTGTCATTCTGCTGCAAGTCCATTGTATTTGGGGTACTATGCAACCACAAACAGGCACAACTTCTTTCACGAAATTATAATTAGTGCTAGTTAAAAATAAAGCAGTTGAACATGGAGCCGTTTGATCTCAGCACTCCAACCATTGTCCTTGACACTTCATTTTTAGCTATTTTCCAGAAATTGATTGTATCTTCAAGTGTATTTCTATGATCTCAGAGAAATCTACTGTCTGCCTGAAACACTATGCTTGGCCAATGTGACCAACTTTAAGATCTTTTTTTTTGAAAATGTAGTTTCCACAGACATCACCTGATACTGGCCTGCCAGTTGTGAACATGTGGTAGAAATCTATGCAATCACAGAAAAACATTTGAATATACAACCGGTTTCTGGACAACAAGTAAAAAAAACAAGTAACCTGATTTGTGGAGGGAGCAGTAGTGCCCCAGGAGTTGTTCATAGGGGTGGCACATGGCAGACAGTCTAAAGACAGACAGCAGGTTAATATGCGGGGGGGCAATGCACGAGCTCATACATAGGGCCTGAAAATCCTGAACGAGGAAACGCGGAAATACGAGTTTACGAGAATCACCTGAAGGCAACACTTTCGTCTGTGTGCGTTGGTTACGACACACTCTTGTCATCCAAATGTAAGAATGTAAGAGGACACCGCTTCCTGGTGTGGACTAATAATAATGGACTGATGAGAGAGAGAGAGAGAGAGAGAGAGAAGGTAGAACTGCTCGAGTCGGGTGAGTCCTCGGTGTGATCTGTTCTGATGTGTTACTGACCTGCGGGAACTGTACGAGCTGTTACAAGGTTTGTTCTCGCTCTTTAAACTACACTGATTATGTCCCAGAAGAGGTGATGCTGATAGATATTGGATAGTCTCAAAGGATCGATAAAATACTCAAACTATTTGTAAGAGATGTGATTTTATTAGAGCGAGACTAACAGTTTTAGATCTAATGCAGTTAAATAACATGTTTGCATGTGAGTGTGCGTTTACTGAGGAGTTCATACAGACTGGGATCTACTTTGATCTGGACGTTGTAGCAGCATGTACAGTTGTTTCCTCCTTCCTTGAGTTGCACCTTCTTCCTGTCTTTCCTGGTGACTTACTGTAAGAAGTCATAAATGGAGATTGTGATTGTGCATCTTTACTGGAAGGCATCGACCTGCGTGAATATGTATTTGTTTACAAATGACATATGATGGATGCTTTCATCCATTAAGAGTCACCTTGTCATACTAATAACCTTCATATTTTAGCATGGGGAGTCACAGTGGACAGAAAATGCCAACACACTGACAAACTGCTCACCCTGTTAATGTTTGGACTAAGATCTACCCATTCATCTGCAGACTACTGACTTACTGTTTGCATTAAAGCTTTATTTTATAGGTGTTTCCTGGAAAGAACTGTATACTGTGGTACTCATTATTGCCAAGATGGACATGATCAAATTGCAGTTAAATATAACCTACAGTGCACATTTGCCACCTAAACAAACACATGTAAAGATTTGTCTAAAATCCAGCAAACAATTGTAGTATATAATTTTTTTTTTTATTAAATATACGAGAAATACAATTTTCAATAATAAAAGAATAATGAATGGAATATTTATGGCTTAAGTCTTTCAAGGAAATTTGGGGAAATACTAGCTAAACTCCAATAGTTCCAAAATATAGTTCCAAATATGTATTTCCAGGAAACTTTCAAGGAAATGTTTAGGAAATGTTCAGACCTGTCAACAGAAGCTGTTGTAAGTGGGGCATTTCCCCAATGACTAACATGTTCCCGTATACCTTGAGATGAGCTGCTCCTCTAACGCACTCTAACCTGTATGTGTTTTACTTACGAACAGGAAGGGACACCATATTCAGTTGGAGGAATGTCAGCTGTAAACAAATCTGCAGAGGATGGCGGCTCCTTCTCGTCAAAAGTCATCAACATCGTGTTTATCATCCTGCTGCTGGACCTGCTGGGATTCACTCTGATTCTACCTCTACTACCTTCCATTTTGGACCATTATGCACAAACGGAGGTTTGTTTTGTTCGTCCAAGAAACAACGTGTAAAGAGTACTTTCTGCTACAGCAGTAGGTGACTTAATAGGCACTTTTGAAATGTGCAGGCTCATTATTATCAGAGCAGACAATAAAGGGATTATTAATGTTTTTTTTATTATTTATTTGTAGGACACATTTCAAAAACACGGGGCAAGGGTTCAAAATTATGATAAAGTGTGTTTTAAGAGGAGATTTAAAATATGATTTAATCACCCTTACTTCCTGATTTCAGCTACATTTGATTGCATATATATATATATATATATATATATGTAGTATATATATGTTTATTATATTAGATATAATTATCACTTGTGATTATATTTTCATCAATTTGAATCACCAGACTGGTTTGACAGACAGCTGAACATAATTTTCACCAGTGTCTATAGTTGTAGCAACTGATTCCACTGTGGTAAAAAAGAGTTTTTAGAAAAAAGAGTGCAGAATTTGATGCACATTCACTACAGAAAATTAGCAACCTTTACAGCCACATGCCATTTTTCTTAATGTGTGTTTCTACCTGGTCTAATGTGTCTACTTTCTCAAATCTGAACAAAGCCACAACAACGGGATCTGTTGGGGAGACAGACGGACAATGTGGAGAATTTGATGCACACTGTCCGTCACATCTATTGAACAAAGAAGGCTTTGTGTGAAGAATCTGTTTCATAAAAACCATAACCAGCTCATGAGTGATTATATTAGCAGTCATGAGCTGTGTGTGTGTGTGAGTCTGCATGCTGACTCATGCTGAATTGACCTCTTTACTCGTGTTTGTACTGCCCCAGTCTGATGTTGTATTTTCTGTGTTTTTCTCTCGTACAGGATGTTGTGTATCAGTCTTTGCAGAGTGTTGTGGACTGGTTCAGGGAGGCTGTGGGGATTCCTATGGAAAAGAAATACAACAGTGTTCTGTTTGGAGGTACTCTACATTGGATTGATTTCACACTCAACACAACTGATGTGACTCTATAATTAATTAAACATAAGATTTTAATAATGCAAAGAAACCACATTCATCCTTAATTTGCCTTTCAGGTCTGATCGGGTCGCTGTTTTCTCTGCTGCAGTTCCTGTCGTCACCGGTAACCGGGGCTCTGTCAGACCACTATGGCAGACGACCCTTGCTCATTCTTACCACAGTGAGTATAATGCCATATAACACCACTTTCTTTAGGATTTAATTGGAAGTTGGAAAAGAGCAACAGTGCAATAATGTAATTTGTTGTTAAACATAGAGTCATTCACTTGGCACAGTTTGTACTCCACTTTGTGTAAGAAATCATGAAGCCTCGCCATCATCACTGATTCATTCGGGCTAATTGGATGCCTTATGTTCCAGTTAGGGCTGATGTCCTCCTATGCAGTCTGGGCCGTTTCCCGGAGCTTCAGCATGTTCCTTTTGTTTCGAGTAATTGGGGGCATTTGTAAGGGCAACGTCAGCCTCTGCACTGCCATCGTGGCCGACTTGCCTTGCCCAAAAGCACGGAACCGAGGAATGGTAGGCACAGACTTTCTTTGTCATAATGTGATTGGATTCACCGATTCATGTTTTCTGTCCCGTCTTTTCTTCAGACATTACTCTTACTCTTACTATTACAGTGATTAGCCACTTAATGCTCTTGTAATTGTAAGTCACCTGTCAGATAAATGTCTTTTAACTTTGATTTTATCATCACCAGGCTATGATTGGCATCGCTTTCTCCTTGGGCTTCACCGTGGGACCTCTGATGGGTGCCTACTTCGCCCTCAGCTCCAAAACAACAGGAAATATCTTCTACCAAACTCCAGCTCTGCTCGCCTTGGGCTTCAGTGTTGCTGATCTCCTCTTCATTTGGCTCATGCTGCCAGAGACGCTCACGAAGGACGTCAAGGTTGGCTGCGGAAACATTCACACTGCAAACTGAATCACATACAGTTTTACTTAAGGGGCAGCCAACAAAGTGTTGTACTTTTACTTATTACTCTGACTTATTAGATCTCTTCTCGGGCTGGCGTTGGGCGGAAATGTCACCAAACTCTGTGAGCTAATAACAATGATAATGGTGCAAATAGACCTTTTATCACAGGTAAACATAGGTGTTTAGTGTAGCAGAGCCTTTCCAGTGAGCCAACATGCACAATAGCAGCACCCTGACTCTGTTTGACCTGAATGGATCAAACCTCAATTAGTATCACTGGTAACTTACTACTTCATTCAATGGCTGCTGTGAAAAGGGTCTATTATCCTGCCCTGACAAGTACTACCACGGTATGTAAAGTGAGTAAGCTGTCAGTCTGTACACGCCCACACAAAAGAGCTCTAATCAGGCAACATGAGTGGAAACACAGTGGCTTTGAAACATAGAATACAAATATGTAAAACATCAGAAATTTCTTTTCTTTCTTTCATTTCTCCTGTCATTTTTCCTGTTTCACCCTAGGCTTCATCTTCAGGGTTCGGGGACTCCCGGGACCTTATGAACCCATTATCTTTGTTCCATTTTTCAGCTGTTACCAGGGCAAAAGATCCACCTTCCAAAGAAAGTAAGTACAGCACATACTGGATTCCTCTGTGAGGCAGAAGCTTACACCCATTCGACCCATTTCGAAAACCTGATTGAACTTTGGCACACTGATAAAAGGTGGAAATGTCTTTACAGGAATGCAGAAGCTTCAAGTGTTGGGCCTGGTTTATTTCTGCTACCTCTTCCTGTTCTCTGGTCTGGAGTTCACGTTGAGTTTTCTGACTCACCAACGCTTCCACTTTACAAGGTATGAACTCAAAGATAAAGCTGTGTGCTCTGTCGGTTACAGTTAACGCACCTGAACAACAATTTTTTGACCTTTATGAGCATCTTTCTCTCACTAGTATGCAGCAGGGAAAGATGTTCTTCTTCATTGGTGTCATCATGGCTTTGATCCAGGGGGGTTATGCTCGAAGAATCAAACCCGGGCACCATATCAAGGCCGTTCGTATGGTAGGAGTACCTTCTGTTTGTATGACAAATAGCTGTACAGTAAAATACTCTTAATGCTGATACAAAAAAAAACATGATGCACCACTGCATACTTGTCTTCTTTAATGAACCATGTTTCTCGTTTTTAGGCAATCATAGCATTAATCCCAGCATTTATTCTCATCGGGCTCTCGTGGAATATAACAATGCTTTACGCTGGCTTGGCATTATACTCATTCGGTGAGTTCTTTTTTTTTGCTGTGTGTCATTTTATTACAAGTTAAACCCTTTATTGTACCCAGGAATGTGCAAAATATATAACTGATGAACTATGGCATACTGCATATGATTAGAGTCCCAACAGGAAACTATGTGCTTTAAGGACCAAGGGCATGAATGACTCCCAGAGCTGAAACAAAACAATAAATGGTTAAACGCAAATATTGGTTTTGTAATCAACTTTTCGAATGTTTTTGAAATATTCAAAATAAAAGCTCATAAATTGAATGACTTTTTAAAGCACAAACAAAAATAATGAGCCCTGCATATGTGATGTGGTAGGATAATGAACTTTGTATGAAAAAGTAATTAGTGACTGGAGCAAAAAATCTGAAAAATAGTAATTCAATCATTAAAGAGTAAAACAAGATAAAATCAAACTTATAAAGTACAGAACTTAACAATATAATTTAAATGCAGTGTATTCTGTAATTACATTTTATGTGCTTCCTTTTGTTACAGCTGCTGCAATAGTTGTTCCATGCCTGTCAACGCTGGTTTCTGACCACGGTGAGCTGCTTGTTCATTCTTGGAAACTCACAAACCATTTATTTTGATTTGATACTTTAATGTGCACACTGTTGCTGATTATCTATTGTGGATATTCCTCCAGGCTCGGCCAGTCAGAAGGGCACAGTGATGGGGATTCTGCGTAGTTTGGGCGCTCTGGCCAGAGCGCTGGGACCAGTGGTGTCATCCTCCAGTAAGGAAGACAGATGGCAGTAAATGCTGCTAAAATATGAAAAAACTGTAGCATATTTTACAGACTGATGACTGCGTATAAGTAATTTTGGTTGGTAGAAATTGCTTTGCTTACTAACTGTTGTGTTTTCTTCACAGTTTACTGGATAGCTGGAGCTCAGATCTGTTTTCTCCTCACATCAGCCTCGTTCATTATTCCTCTGGCTCTCCTGAGAACAGCTGGGAGGCTAAAGGAGGAGTGAGAGACACAAAGACTTGAAAGAGACATTTTCATTTTTCATATTTTCTATGAATGTTATAATGTTTGCATCGGCACTGACCGATTAAGAGGTTTATACTTTCTGCGCTGTTCACCAAGGATCATGACATGAAACAAACTGATGCAAGAAGACACGAACCTGCCAAAACAGAGGGGAAGTTATTGTGGGGAATGATGTAATGCCTATTTACTATGAAATACGTGGGTGGGTAACAAAAAACATTTATTCTGTATCTTGTATATCATTTTATATGCAGTATTTTATCATCACTCAGATTTTATATTTTACAAAGTACGCTTTCTATTTTAGCTCACTTAAAAAATGTGGATATTCTATTTTCTTGAAATTAAAAAGAATGAGAAGGATGACATATGTCTATGGAAATTTATTATTTTTGTACAAAAAGGTTTTCAATAAACTTTATTTTATTGGTGGAAAGTAAATCAAGTACATGTGCTCAGGTATTTTACTCAAGTATTTTCCATTTTTATGCTACTACTACATATATTTGACTCCAAAACATGTATCTGACTGCAAAAATTGTTTTTGCAGATTAAATGTTGCATACAAACATATGATCCGACTATAAAATTTACATTTTTTTAATAGATTATTCAACCAAAAAGTATACAAATTAGTACAGTCTGCTCCATCTCAACCAGATATAACACTGAAATAATGAAACGTTAATGCATGAATTATAATACAAATTCTCTGAAAGTGCACAGTCTGGGTAAACACACTTTGAATATAACTTGCTGATAATACTTTTATACTTTTATTTTAAGTAACAGTAGCCTATTTTGAAACTCATGGATGGATTTGTGAAGAAATATTCACCAAGGATGCACAAAATCTATTAAATTACAGGACTTAAGGTGTTATAATCACTCTGCAGGAGATGGCCCCCACATTAAATAACAATGCAATAAGGTGTTGTTATATTGTACTTAAATGGTGCAACATTAATGATTTCTGTTCTGGGCTTTTGGCTGTAGGTTTGTAGTGTTATTTGAGCTTTCTCTTTCTAATATAACACTAGTTAATGGTGAAATAATATCTCTGAATACCTGCACAGGCTTATAATCAGTTCTATTATCTATCTGTGGTGCAGTGTGTGGCTATACTGAAGTTGATTTGTCAGCTGTAAGCCAGAAGGTGTCGCTGTAAGCTCTCCTCGTTGAACGCACACTGTAAACATCAGCTGTTTCAATCAGGTTCAACTAGCTGCTATGCTATCAAACAGGTTGCTTAGCAGACAGACAGCCCACTGTTGAGCTTCACTAAATCCTGCAGGGAGTTCTGACAGCACATGGAGGACCGAGTGAAGATGCGGACATGTGACTGCGCATAGGAAAACCTGAAGATGGACAAGGTAGTTAACGAGAAGTGACGGACGGTGGTGTTGTTTTTAAAGCTAGCTGACGAGCTAACGTTACGCTGGTGCATGTAGCTGAACGGGAGCTAACTTTGAGCTAACTTCAGCTAGCTGCTACAAACGTGTAGCTCGGTGTTTCTTATAAGTTAACAGCTGGTTTGACCACACCAGTAAACTGCTGGTTGCGACGTGTTGTGAAATATGACATGTTGACAGGTCACCTAAAAGTTAAATGTGTGTAACTTAAGCCATGCTAGCTGTTGATGTGAGCTGATAACTAAACAGCTGGAATAAAAAGTTAAACCCACCTTTCATGTGAGTCTAAAGTGGATGAAGTGATCAGACAGTACTGTGCCAATGCATTGCTTTACTTTAACTTCAGCCTGTAACGTGACTGTCAAAGGTCGTATACCAGCAGACAGACAATCTTTACTTTCCCCAGGAGAGCAAACTATCCTCTGCTGTCCACTCTTTTGACCACACACAACAGAGGAGACTGAGGAAGGGGCCTGCTGAGCACCACACAACCTCCTCACCGCCTCTGATCTTACCTAATCCTTATGTGTCCGACCAGAGTTTAAAAGGGTAGGAGGAGAATCAGGCTTGGATTTTTATCTTGATCAAAGTAATTTAGCACTTCACCTAATTGAGGCTGAAGCACCCCCGCTTCAAAGCCCCTTACTTGTGTGCATTTCTGACCTTTTGTCAAGGAACCGGTCTGGTGTGAGCCCAACGCAGAGTCCATCCAACACAAATGGAGTGCCAGCAGGAATAGGAGGAGATGTGTCGAGGAGTCATGGCTACAGCAGCAGCCGGCGCGTTAGAGAGGCCAGCGATGATTTCCTGCAGAGAGACAGGTCTGCACGGGATCCACAAGCAAAGGTTTGTTTCTTTTTAGGTACTGAGGGGGAAAAACTGTCTTCATGTAATTATTTTCAGTGATTTTTTATTTTTTTTTGTCCATTTCCCACAGACATCAAAAAGCAACAATGACTCAAACGCTCAAGGCAGAGTCATGGGCAAGAACTCACTGGATGCACAGAGAAAAGGTAAACGACACGCACGGCATTGTTAACGTTTATCCTGTCACCTCAGCTCGCGGATCCTATCATTTCCCCAAACGTAACTTATCGGCTTACACTTTAATCATCTTTTTAATCATCTTAATCTACTTTTGCTCGTAATTTGACCACAGGTTTCAGAGGCGCTCGACCCGCCCCGAACTCTGCAGGGAAGTCAAAACCAGCACAGGCCGATTTGGTCCCGTTTGAAGTGAAGATGACAGATTTCCCGGAGCTGGCTGGTGTTTCTCTGGGCAAAGCAGGCCCTCCTCTTGTTCAGAGAGAGTGCTGGGGTCCAACTCCTCCACCCACCAACCCTCAAACACAAACATCTGTATTTTCCTGGAAGGTGAGCTCACTTAAGTATCAGATTGCGCAGTTATCTACTCCAGTAACACAAAGTTATATTCATGAATTTGGTGCTGTTGGGATTTTCTATTAAATAGTCTGGCAGGAGAGGATCCTCAACACAGCTGGACCCCCAACAAATTGCCACTAAGGCAGATTCCTCTGCTGCCTTATCAGGTAGGTGAAAGTCCCTGTCGCTAGTCGTTTAGTCTCAATAATATGTCTGGTATTGATCATCTGATTTATTTACGTATTTTTGTGAACAGGTCAGACAGTGGTGACTTCCTGGGCTAACGTTGCCTCTCAACCTCCAAAGAAACCTGTCCCTAAAGAGAAGACAATCAGCAGCAACCAGATGCAGGTTAGATGACATTCTACAGCTATAAGCTGAATGTGAGATCCTTAGGTTTCAGTGCTCAGTCACCTCCATTAGACATATATCACTGTTGCCTGTGCCAGCTACAGTAGCTAGGAAGATCATTAACCAAAAACTTTTTTAAATGGTTACTCATCTATCCATTTTCTGTCACTTATCTGGGTCCAAGACTTGTTAATTTATTAACAATATGAATTACACTGACAGAAGTGTGATATAAATGTGATATAAATGTCAATATATATCAACATACTTGTAATTGTGTCCTCACAGGCTTTCCTTCAACCGTTTGATGGGTATCGAAAATGTATTAAACTGCATTCTATGTGGTTAAACATTGTTTTCTGTCACTTCACTTTTATTCTCGTCAGACGGAGAAAATTCTTGCACAACAGGAAGATGGAGGCCCAGGGAAGAAAAAGCGAAAGAAAAAGAAGAAGAAAGCTAAAGGAGCTGGTGAAGACATAGAAGCTGAGGCAGAAGGGCCACCAACTTATCAAGAGCCTCCAAAATTTGAGGTAAATAAAAAAAAAAAAAAAGGTCTCTCGCAAAACTCATTTAATAAATGTAAGTGTTGGATGGAAGATGATTTTTATTTTTTTTGTCTTGTCAGGATGAAGAGGAGTTTCCAGGCTTGACTGTTGCTTTGACTGGGATCGACAGATTCTTCACAAGCAGCAATGCAGCAAAACTATGCAATGAGGTACACACCATCACTTATTTCTCCTCCCAGATGTTTTCACATAACAATTACAATACTGTCTCTGTAGGATTTGCTGAAATGCGTATGGCATGTGTGGGTCATTAATATTAATTAGACAGTATGTAATTTGCAAAACTGATGTTGCGTTTCTTTCAGGAAAACCAAAGAGAAGGTGTGCAGCATCAGTCTGCTGACCAATCAAAGGAAAAATCACCCTCAGCAAAAAGCCAGCCCGCAGAGACGGCTAAAAAAGGACAGGTTTGTATTTTTGTCTTACATTCAAATAGATCTTTTTTTATATTAACCTGGAATAAAAGCGTAGTTTAAACCCCTGTTCTTGGTCCTGTTCTAGAAAGCTGAAAAGGCGTCTGGGAAGAAGAGCAAAGTTCCTGTTCAGCTAGACATTGGAAACATGTTGGCCGTGCTGGAAAAGAAGCAACAATCTCAAAAAGCTAAGCAGGACGCCAAGCCAGTCATTCTCTCAGGTGAGTTATGGTCAGCTTCCTGGCCTCTGTTACACTGGGGTTCTCATTTCTCCTGCCTTCTTTGATAAAGATGATATAAAAGTACATTTTGGCTTACACTCACTTAAAAGGTCTATTGGTTCAGAGCAATAAAACGACGTCTCTTTTGGAATCATTTCTTTGTAGTTGGTGGAGGACTACCTGTTGTCCAGAAGCAAGCATTAGCACAGAAGAAGCCGCCTTGGCAGCAGGATAAAATTGCACACAATCCTCTGGACTCCACCAGCCCTTTGGTGAAGAAAGGCAAGCAGAGAGAGGTGCCCAAAGCCAAGAAACCCACTCCTCTCAAAAAGGTAAAGTCACTCAGTCCACTCTAATACAGACGCACTGCATTTCGTAAGAATGTATTTGAGCCTCGTTCGTTTGTTTCCGTCTGATCCTCAGGTCATTTTGAAAGAAAGGGAGGAGAGGAAACAAAGACGTTTGCTGGAGGAGAGAGGGCTGCTGCCTGAAAATGAGTTCCAACCTGCTAATGATGCTGCAGAAGAAGAGCAGTGTGACACAAATGCCACAGGTGAGAGCAATCATGTGAAACAATAGAATTCAATGGATTCCTACTGTAATAATCACAGCCGGAAGTAGTTTAAGGAAATCTTTTATTAAAACCAGTATTTGATCTGCATTTTGTGCTCAGATGAGGTTGGGAGTCCTACAGAGGAACTTGATGATCAGCTAGAGTTTAATGGCACAAACCAGATGGTAAAGGAAGGTGATGAAGAGACCGACAAAGATGAGACCGTAGAGCGACAAACCACCTCACCTGTGCCCTGCCCGGCCAACCAACCCAAAATCCACAGCAGAAAGTTCAGAGAGTAAGACTGTAAAAGCACAATCTTCGTCGGCTGTCTGTGTGTCCGCTGTGCGTTCAGTCGCTGTTTCTCTCACATTTTTTGTTAATTGGAAATGTTTATTGTTGTCCATGTCAGCTACTGCAGCCAGATGCTGAGTAAAGACGTGGACGAGTGTGTGACGGCTCTGCTAAAGGAGCTGGTTCGTTTCCAGGACCGACTGTACCAGAAGGACCCCATGAAGGCCCGCATGAAAAGACGCATTGTGATGGGGCTCAGAGAGGTCCTGAAGCACCTCAAACTCAGGAAGGTCAAGTGTGTCGTCATTTCACCCAACTGTGAACGCATCCAGTCCAAAGGTACCATGTCCTTGTGAGAGCTTCATTGTGTGTGGCATTAGAGAGGTTTTCAGGAACTCTTTTTTTGTTTCTGAATGGCTGAGAATAGTACGCTTTGGAGATGCATTCAAGTCCAGTGGGAAATTTGTGTTCTTGTAAGAAATGTATGCATATGTTTATATCTAGAGGGGAGATTGTTAGGGTGCCCAACCTTGAAGTGATGATGGTGAGGCCTTAGTACAGCTCAGAGACTCTCTATGAGAAGTTCAGCCACAAGAAGCAAAGTGTTGGCATAGTTTGTTTTTTCTGAAAAAGTAATAATGGCGTTTATTTTTATTTTCAATTGTATTTATGAC